CATTTGAGGGATTCAACTTTGGGTCCTCTCATCCAAGCAAATTCATGGAGGATCAAGATCTCAAGCATGGAGATCAAGGGCAACATAAGAGGTATGTTTTCTTCTTTGTTTATATGTTTTTTAGGGTTGATGTAATTAGCATGAAGCCATAGATCCATAAGATGCATGTACACTTAGGTATATCGTAGTTTCAATTCTTCCTCTCCCTAGATTAGAGTGTAGTTGATGCATATGAAACCCATCAGTAACACCCTTCGCTTCCCCTTTCACGCTTGTATGAATAGATAGGGCATTAGTTAGCATCAAATTAATAAGCTTCATAAGTAGAGCTAACTCATATTTGAGATTGGAATCGAGTGATGAAAACTTCTGAGAAAAGAAATTAGGAGAAACCGAAGATTATTGAGAATACCCAAGCTTCAAAAGTAAATCTTTTAAATCGCCCAACAACTTTTCCAATTTGGCAAAGCTCAGGGAATTAGACGTCGACTTTGCTTCAAACTTGGTTGAAAGAGAATTTCGAAGTTTAACCACTTTCGTAAAAGCAACAGGAACAATATCAACTTTCATATTGAGAGTTGAATAATTGTGATCAAGATTAACAACCTCCTTCACCATTTCAGAACGAATTTCTTCGATTTTCAAATTGACATCCTCCTTTACTTGTTTCACTTCATCAATGAAAAGAATATGTCTTTATTTTGCAATGGCTCAAAAATCCTATACCTCATGAACACACAAATCAGACTGCTGCTTCAAACATTTCTTAGTCTTCGAAAATATTTGTTCCATCAAAGATTTCAGACAAAGTTCTTGGGATTTAAGCATAACATTGAATTCAATCTCAGACCCACTATGAAAAATCCCAACATCAGCTTGACGTTGTAACAAAGACTTGAGCGTTCTGTTGAGAATCTTGAACTGCTTCGCAAACATAAGCATGTGATCGGGAATGTTCTCCTCCTCCTGATGAAATTTTATATTCGCAAACGTAATGATAATATCATCCTCTTCGGTGTTATCATTAGGAACTGATTTTGGTCCTTCAGTGGATTGAGAAGGAAATAGAGATGTAATAGGTTGATCCATAATATTCGAATATGTAGGTGATATGGTAGAAGCATGTAAGGATGTGGGAATGGTTGAATCAAATGGTGGTAGTGAAGTAAAATTATCAATAGCACTGGTTTCGAACATAGATGAAATAGTAAAGGAAACTGGAATGGTAGTAGTAAAGACATTCGAAAAACCGTGGGCTGAATTCGACACCGCTGTTGGAATAGTGTCTAAGGCTGCAACTATATTAAGCAAATATTTGACCCGATTGAGCATGGTCCTTTTGGGTTGCCTTCACCATAGCAACTTGATAGGATGATTTACAATGAGAGTTGAAATATTATAAGGAATAATATTATATTTGATTAATATAAGTCATAAATTAATTAGGAATTAATTTGGTGACTTAAAGAGATTAATTAAGTAAAAGGACTTAAACTGTCAAACGTGTGATAGTTATACTTTAGGCTGTAATCCTTATGGATAATATGGTGGACATTTTAGGATTAGGATAATCCTAAAATCTGTCCAAAGGGTTATCATAAAGGGATTAGGATTGCTTTGGGCTTAAGTTATCCAATTATGGTTTAAGGGTGAAACCCTAGGAGCCTTACAAGTATAAATAGACCCTTGGGGTCATGGAAATCAGCACCCTTGTTCCTAAGGAAACCCTGGCTGATTTCTAAGTCCCTCCCCACTCAATCATCCTCTTGCTAGTTGGTGTTTGTAAGCCATTAGAGGAGTGACAATTGTGACTCTAAAGCTCCAAGAAAAGAAGATCAAACAAGTGATTCAAGGTAAACTTATAACTCTGATTTATCCATGTTATTATGCTAGAATAACCATTATAAGTCTTGGATTCATGCATGTTCAATTAGAGAAACCTAGATCCAAGCATTAGGGTTTTTATGTGCACATAGGAATGTTCATATGGCTAAAACCCATCAGTGGTATCAGAGCCTAGATTGGTTTCTATTGAATTGATGCATTGGTTACTTGTTTGATGCTTGCAAAATTCGATTTTTGTGTTCCTGCCTGATGAACTCGGCGAGTCCCATAGTGGACTCGGCGAGTAGGCCTCAGCTCGGCGAGTCCATTGTGGTACTCGGCGAGTTCGAGCGTCAGAAAGAGCTAATTTCAGGATTTCTTGTTGTTTATCCTTTTGAAACTTACCTTAATCATATTAGGTCAATATAAATCCGATTTTTTGATATATTTGAGTATATCCTTGACCTAATTGAAGATATTTATCAATTAATTAAATATTAGTTTCCTTATGTGATAATTGACTAATTATTTTAATTAAATTGGTAAATTGTTTTGCAAGAAATAATTAAATAAATCAAATATGGATAATTATGTGATTAAATGTTAATTTAGATTATTTGTTATTTGATCCTCTATGTTTTGAAAAGTTTAAAACCTGCCCTCAAGTTTTGAAATTTATGTTTTGTGATTAAAAGTTTAATTTGGACAATTTAAATTTCAAACCCTAGAATTTTACAAGTTTAAAATTCAACCCTATACTAATATAATATTACAAGATTAATATATATATATATATATATATATATATATATATATATATATATATATATATATATATATATATATATAATTAAAATGCTAGTCTTACCGTTAGTAGGCCTCATTCACGAAGCCGGTCTATAAGGTGGGTATAAGGTTGCTGCCTATAAAATGGCGCTTAATGGGTACACTCACACCCACCGCTTGCTTGATCGGTGGAGGGTCGTTAGCCGAACGGGTAGGATAGGGCAACCTCATCTCCTTATTAAAAGTATAATATGAAATACAAAGTAACTACATGTTTTTCAAAATTCCCAATCCTAGTTACTTTAGGAAAAGTGAATTGATGCAATCCCATGAAATTACACTTTGCACCCTTGCTAAGAAGTTAGTGGAGCGTGTGTGGTTTACCGGCACACTAATTGGTTCTAAGCAAAGGTGGAAAGGGTGATTCATTGTTTATCATAGTTCGATGGAGCGTGTGTGGTTTACCGGCACATCGAATAGGTGATCGTTACAATGAAGGCACCATGTGAATTTGCATGGTAATTCACACCCACTTTGTGATCCTCGGTATCCCAGTCACAAATGAGAGGGGCATATCGAGATTTAAACATGCCATTGAAAAGTTTCAATGAATCTCATCCAAATCTAGGAATTCTCATTACATTAAGAGTCAAAGTTATGTTTTGTGGTGGAGAATTAGTGAATCGTCATTCACTTACCTTCAAATTGTTTACATGTTAGATTACGGCATCCCTTTTCTAATATGTAAATATTGTTGTTGGATCCTAGCCCTAATTTTTCTTATTGGGTGATAATTAGGGATCCAAATTCTAATCTATCTTTGTCCTTTCTATTTGTAGATGTCAAACGCAAACAACGCTGCTGCAAGCTCGTTCACATTGATGAGCCTTTGCCAAAAGGTAACTTTTGATGGAACGAACTTTAGCGAATGGATAAGATACATTCGCACGATTGCTCGCTACGAGGACAAGGAGTATGTCCTCGATGAGAAGCTCGAGAAGATCAATCCTGAAATCGCTACTCCGGCTGAAATGGCTGCTTTTGAAACTCAGAGCGTGATGCAACGAAGGTACATTGCATCATGATAGCCACCATGAATTCCGAATTCCAAAAGTCCTACGAGGACATGTATCCGTACGAAATGCACCAAGACTTTTGGAGAGATACCATCAAAACGCGAGACAAGAGCGTTACGAGATTTTCACTAACATGATTTCCGAAAATGGGTCATGGAGAATCTCTTACCGTGCACCTGCAAAAGATGCAAAGGTATGTCGATCGACTTCGCAAGTTAAATGTTGACTTTGGGGAAGACTTGGCGATCGACATGGTGCTTCACTCTTTGCCGCCGTGTTACAATCAATTTAGGATGACCTACCACATGAATAAGGAAGAGGTCACCCTAAGCAAGCTCCAAGGTCTCCTTAGGGTTGCTGAGAGCAATCTCAAGGACAAGTCCGTTGCACCTACTCCCAATCCACCCGTTGCTCCTGTTTTGGCCATTGGGCAAGGAAGAGGCAAGAAGAGGAAGGCTCCGTCTAAGAGCTACCGCAAGGGAAAGTCCCGAGATGGTTCCTCCTCTAGTGGGACAAAAGTTGATCCCACCAAGCCTACTTCTAACCCAAAGGAGGCAGAGTGCCACCATTGCCACAAAATAGGGCATTGGAAGAGAAGCTGCCCAGAGTACCTGCAAGCCATCAAGGAAGGAAAGATCAAGCCGTCTTTCGCAGGTATATACACAATTAAATCTAATGATTCATCTCATGCTATTTCTTGGGTCCTCGATACCGGTTGTGGTTACCACATTTGTTCTGAATTGCAGGGACTAAGAAGAAATAGGGATGTGGAGCATGGAAGAATAAATCTAATCATGGGGAACAGAAGATCGTCGCCTGTGACCAAGATTGGAGTGTATTCTCTAGTGCTTAGGAATGGTTTATCTTTATATTTGAACAATTGTTGCTATTCGCCAGAAATGGCAAGAAACATCATTTCATTTCATGGTTTGTTTAGACAAGGATTTAGATTTTCTTTTAATAATGAGAATGGTTCTATTTGTGCTTATCTAAATGGTGTCTTATATTTTGAAGCAATACCATGTAATGGAATTTATGAAACTGTTATGATTGTAGATAACCTAGGAAATGATGTTTTATGCATGGATTCTTCAATAGTATGGATAGAGCATCCTTGTGGCATTGTCGTCTTGGACATGTCAACAAGAAGCGCATAGCCCAACTCCAAAAGGATGGAGTGTTGGAGTCATTCGACCTTAGGAAGATGACACGTGTGAATCTTGTTTACTTGGAAAGATGACTAAGTCACCCTTCACTAGCACATGTGAAAGGGGTGAGGGTTTATTGGACCTAATACATACCGATGTATGTGGACCGTTTAGATCAACCACAAAGGATGGGAAACCGCTTCTATGTGACTTTTACCGATGACTATAGTAGATATGGGTATATCTACTTAATCAAGCAAAAGTCAGAAACATTTGAAAAGTTCAAAGAGTTCAAGAATGAAGTGGAGAATCAATTGGGCAGGAAAATCAAGATGCTTCGATCCGATCGAGGAGGAGAGTACCTAAGTCTTGAATTCCACGACTATCTAAAAGAGTGTGGAATAGTTTCACAATTGACGCCACCTAGGACACCACAATTGAATGGTGTGGCAGAAAGGCGTAATCGAACCTTGTTGGACATGGTCCGCTCTATGATGAGTCGTGCTTCGCTATCTATCTCATTCTGGGGGTATGCCTTAGAGACTGCCGCCCATATCCTTAACCGAGTCCCTACTAAGAAGGTTGCCAAAACACCTCACGAGATGTGGACAGGGAAAGCTCCCTCGTTAGCACATATCAAGGTTTGGGGTTGCGAGGCTTTCGTAAGACGAGATACTCACAACAAACTCGAACCTTGTAGTGAGCGATGTATTTTCATCAGCTACCCACATAAATCCTTTGGATATCTCTTCTATAGACCGAAGGACAATGTTGTCTTCGTTGCGAGGAGAGGAGTTTTCCGAGAGCGAGAACTCATAAGCCAAGGAGACAGTGGGAGGCAAATCGAGCTTGAAAAGATTCAAGAGTCGATAGATGAAGGAACCTCTACCGCTGGCACTCAACCCAAGGAGGAAACTCCGATTGAACCAATTGACGAGTCCTTACCTCTTAGACGTTCCGAAAGAGTTAGAGTTCAACCCCAATTATATGGTTTTCATATTACTACCGAAGGGGACACGTATATTAGTGATAGTACACTAATAAATCTAGATGAACCTAATAGCTATAAGGAAGCCATGGCAGGCTCGGAGTCTACGAAGTGGAAAGAGGCAATGGACAGCGAGATCCAGTCCATGTATGACAACCAAGTTTGGAATTTGGTTGATTATGTACCCGGTCGTAAGACCGTAGGGTGCAAATGGATCTTCAAGAAGAAGACTGACGTGGATGGAAATGTGCACACATATAAGGCGCGATTGGTTGCGAAGGGTTTTACTCAAACTCCCGGAGTTGACTATGATGAAACCTTCTCGCCAGTTGCGAAGATAAAATCTATTAGAGTGATGCTAGCGATTGCCGCATT